TAGAGATATAAGGGATCAAAGTTTGATAGCATNTTTTTGTGACATCACACTTTAGGACTCTATTACCCTGTGCACTGAAGTGAAAACTGCTCTAATGTTTGATAGGTGTCCAGCACAATTGACCATTTTACAGTTTCCTGCTCAGTGACCTGGCCTTTGAATGGCAGCAAGGCTGCAGGTGACCAGTTTTGATACAGACCTCACTGCTTTTGTTGTGTAAATCAAATTGTTTTAAGTTGGTATTTCAATGAGAAAAGCAGAGAAGTCTGTATCAAAGCAAAATCACCTCCTACCTCGCTTACATTCATAGGCAAGGTAACTGAGCACTCAAATGTAAAATGGCGTATTAGCACAGCCATGCAAATGCTGTGCTGAAGAGCTTTCATATAAAGGTCACACATTAATATCGTGTAAATGGAAGGTTGCATTCTGAACCACATGTGAAAGGCTCGATCATAGTTAATAGAGGGAAATAGTTAAGAAGCCTGGTAAACATCAAAGAAGCAAATAAAGCGGTTGAGATTTATGTTAGAAGGTTCTTGACACTGCGCAGCTTTTGTTTTATGCTCACAGACTATACATGAATTACGTAATCACAATGGTTAGTTGTATGAGCAAACACAACCACCTTTTGAATTTTGTCAGGTTTTGTGCAGGGTCAACCCCCAAAATAGCCAACAAAAACATACAACAAAGAACTTTGCCAGGTTTCCTAACCATTTCCCTCTATTAACTATGGCTCGATATTTGTACTGCTCGTTTTAACTTAAAATATTCAGCATGCAGAAAATACTGCCACAAGTGTGGGCAGCAATGTCCTTTATAGCCAAACCCAAGGGAAAAGTAGTTCTTGGTAGTTCACCTGATTACCGTAAGCTTTGAACACAATACACAGGAGAATAGGGGAGGGGACAGAAAGACCAAAACTCTCAACCCTCTCAACACTTTTGTATTGGGTTGTGGACTGTGACTGTCCCTGTGCTACAATGTTATATTAGCTAGTATTTAATCTCTTATGTAAAACGTCAATAAACATTATCTAATGTAAGTTATCATTGAAACAAAATTTAAAAGCCCAGAAATGGAAAGAAACTAAGTAAATAAGTCTCCATACAATCAAAAAACTTTCTTGGATATCTTAAAAACTTTTCAAAAACTGTTCCATGTATATTTGGTAATAAATTGTTGACTTAAATCACACGTCAGTTTCCTAGAAGAGCTTAGATTTGTAATTCACCTACAATAATTACAAAGAACAAGATACTAGTTGGTTTTACAGTTATCAGCAGTTTGACATTCAAACAAGGCAAAAGGGTCAGTTTTTCTTTTTATTTATATATGGCTAGCTCCATGAGCAGGCAAGATGAATCAAATCCTGTGCTGTGATTGGCTACCCGAGCAGGCAAGATGYAGCTATCTTGCCCGCTTGGGACTACCRGCCGTGTCCCGCAAGAAAAATTTCCCCAAAAGCCCTATAATGCATCCTTTATTGACCAAGATTGTTCAGTCAAGATGGCTGGATATTGGCCTCATTCTTTTTTTGCGAGTTTATGGACCTCGACTCCATCTCGGTCCATAAACACGCAAAAAAAGAACTTGGCCAATATCCAGCCATCTTGGTCAATAAATCATACGTATTGACCCTTTCACCTCGTTTGTATAACTTTTTGAACAAAAGAATATTTAACCGCAAGACTCAACTGTAATAACAGCTCTTCAACCTACAGATAAAAACTAAATGATCTGGAATTAACTTTAAACTAGTCTCTAGGCTTCATTTGGTCACCAATTTGATCATTTGATTACACACTGTACCTACAGCTCAAACAGTTCCTTGCTTCCCTTTCCAACTTTTAGAAAACTTTTCTTAATGGACATTACCTGTATCTGACTGAAATACTCTTTCTCCTTATTTAGGATTTCCTTTTCTAAGGCATCAAACAGTGTTCCTGGTTGAACACCAGCCTCAGAGAAACACCAAGCAAATTCAAGTAGGTCTTTTGCAGTAAAACTAGAAAAATCTTTTTCTGAAATGGAAGAAAATAAAAATTCATAGAACTTTTTACTTCCTCTGCTGGCCTCAATAAATCCTCGCATAAGTAAGAATTTTTCCTCCTTAGAAAATTTATTTAACCCACGCTGAAATACCTCTGCTTCAATTACATCGAACAGTTGACTGCTTGCTTTTCCCATCCTTCCAAGAGACCAGGCAACTTGACATAACTGAGTAGTGGCAATCTGCTTGCCATTCCTCAGACACAACTCAGTTTCAATTTCTGTAACTAACTTGTTGTCATGCCTTTGGGCAGCAAAAAATGAAAGTAGGATCATCACAAGTTCATGGGTGTGAAGCATATGGGCACCACGTTTGAGTAACTCTTCCTTAACAACATCAAATACCATGGCTTTTGTAAAACTCCTCTTTCCAAAAGACCAAATGATGTCTAAGAGCTCAACATTGTTAAACCTCTCCACACCAAGTGAGACAAGACCATTGTCCACATAGTCAAAAAATTGCTTGCTTCCTTTTCCAGCCTTGCCAAATGCCCAAAGTACCTTAGTAATAAAACTAGTTTTGTTCAAGTCAGCTGTTGCTCGTCTTGGAATCTCTTCTTCTACTCTGTCAAACAACTTGTCTGCTTCCACTGCTTTCTTTGCAAATGACCACACAAATTCAGCTAAAGCATTACTGTTAATCATTGTGAAGTCTCTTGACAGAATTTCTTCCAAGAAAGCCTCAAACAGTTTAATGGAACCATTCTCTGTTTTAGCAAATGAAAATATTATTCCAGACAGTTGGTGATTTTCAAAATGACAGATCTTCACCTCTCCATTTAAAATAGCTTCTTGAAACTTGGGAAATATTTCACTTCTTGCCATGTTAAAGCTTGCACATCCACTCAAAATCTGACAGATATTTTTATTGTCAAATACTGAAGTACCCCGAGACAGAATCTTCTTCTCGCAAAGGTGAAACAGCTTTGGATGTTTCACTTGATTTATTCCTAGTGCCCACATTAATGTGGCCACATTCTGAGGCAGACACTTGGACACTTCTTTTGAAATAGAGTCCAGCAATTCCATGTATGTGCTTTTATGTTGTCTTAGTACTTCCTTCTGTTCCTCATCTCCCTCTATGATCTTCGCGATGCTATAGAGTATGGCAATCTTGTTTACAGTCTCTGCCACATACTTAGCCTCCGTAAAAAATTTCAGTTGCTCTTTCACTGTTTTCAGGGACATTATTTTCCTCTCAATTATCATTTTAACTTTAGTTGGGCGTGATGACTTTAAGTTAGTAGACAAGAAGGAGTCTGGAACGTTGACATAAGGCAGGCTGTTACTTCTCTTTGTTGGTTTAGCAATCACATCTCCTGGCCATGAGTTGCTGTATGACTTGCTGAATTCTTTAAAAGTATATGATGGAAAATTTTGACACAGGAAGGGACAAACTCGCAGAAACCGTGCGCTTGTAGACAAAGTTAAAGTCCTCATTCCATAGGCTGTAAACATTTTAATTGTTCACTCTTGTAAACTAGCCAGAATGTCTGCAAAGTCTGCAAAGAAACGGAAAACTTAAATATTGTTATCAGTGAAAGCCAGTTAATTTATATTTCTGTGAGTTCAGAATCTGAGAAATTCTATGACAAGTCGCTCATGCACAGTGCTAAAAGAAACCCTACAAAAGCACTGAATACCAAAATTGTTGGGGGAAAGGAGTTTAACATAGTTTAATATCCTCTAAAATAAATCCTATCGGATGAAAACAATAAATGACCTCTAACAACTGAGCATGCAAACTATAATGGTGAAATTATATTAGCCGAAGAAAGGTTGTAGCAATGCAGACAGATCAGGACAATTTCTCAATAAAATCCTCTGTAGGCAAGGGCAAGACCAGTACACCAAAGTAGTCTATTGTATGGCATCTGAGCATGTGCTAACACCCAGAACAATGAGACAAAACCACCATAAATGAGCGAAAACCACCACAACAATGCAAACAAAATCCTTGGAAAGGCCAAAACAAGAGTAACCTGAGTATTATACAGGCCAACCACAGTGCCATTCAGGCTAATGGAAGTGTAGGCCTGCAGTATCGCTGCAGAGATGTATCCCCTGGGGGGGGAAATGTTTTCTCACAGTGGACTGGACTAGGCTATGAGAGAAAAATAATGTTATAACACAGCGCACATGCTGGTCCTACCAAATTCCTACTGAGACATCACGGTAAAAATCTCTATTTACCGACGACCACGCGTAAGTAACATGATGTGTGCAGTTTCATTTTAGCTGCAAAATTTCCATGGAGTTTAGCTGCGAGTTCCTTTTGTTAAAATTTTGGCGATGAGAATTTCATTCTGAACAATTCAAACACTACTTCAAGCCTTAGCTAAGATGTTTACTAAAACTTGAGTATTTTGACTTTGTTTGTCTTTATTTTCATTGACTATTTTTGACTTTGTTTGCCTACATCTTCATTATAATTAATTTGAAGAAGCAAATTTTTCATCCGCAATTTTAGAAACCAGATGAAACGTTTTCATTCAATTGTTGCTCAACTCATTGTAGTGTGTTTTTTCACCAGGCAATAGGATCCTTTGTTTTCCTTCACCATGCATTGTGAAAACTCTGCAGTCAACCACAAACAAAACATGTCTTAGCCCCCAAGTTGTTTTCACTAGGTTATAAAAGAATTTCTTCATGCTTATAGCTGTGCATATATCAAGCTCAAGAAGCTAGAGTTGCTCTCAGCTGTGCCTCAGGCAACTCTCACGCTCTCCAAACTTCCCACATGCATCCATAACTCTACATGAGCATGCTAAGCACGATTTCAATTCTTTAATAGTAACTCATTCCTTCACTCCTCGTATATTACATAGTCACAGCTCAGCATGAGGTAGATTCAGGCTTCCAAAAACTAGGGAACATTTTCCTTGAAAAATGTCTTACACTTGTTCTCTCGTTTAGTCTGCTTGGTCATTTCCATGAATTTTTGTTTCTAAATTACCAATCAAGGTCAAATGAAAGCCTGGAAAGCTAAGTCACAGTTGGCCTGGCAATAATTCATTTGCGATTGCACGTTTGTTTGTCTTTTTGACTGACATGAAAATTGACATTATTGTTTCTGATTGGATAAACAGCTCAGGAGCAAATTTCCTCTTGAAAATTTGGCATGTTGTAGGTGATAAAAGTGTTATGTGCTGGGATTAACTTTAAGTGGAAAGGACGTCGAGAAAGTGTAACTCTTTTCGTGACTTTTCACATAGTTGGTAGAATGTCCACTTTACCACCTTTACGTCTCATGAGGAGGGTTTAAAGAATTCTGATTTTAGGGCATCGTTCTGAAATGTGATGTACAAAGATAGGGTCATATTTGTCAACAATATATTAATTTTTTCAGCGATAAACGTATCTAAAACTTTTCATTTCAAAAAGGGAACACCTGTTAAGAAATAAGTTTTAGCTTAAGTTAAGCTTAAATTTGGAATAGGTAGCTTTATAGGAGTAGTTTATAATACTAACTCTAAGTGAACAAGTTCCGACTCTGTACATACTTCTTCTACAAAATTTAACTTGCATGACACCATACCTTAAAAGATTCCAATGAAAACCAGTACGGTAGAATGAAAGTGAAGCCTACATAGCATCGTAGCCCTCAACTATAGCCCTCATCAGAAGCACCTCTCGTCGCCATCTTGTCGCGAGAGATTGGTACCTAGCTGAGCGACCGTTCACTTGCTTTCTTCAACCCACAGGGCACCCAGGCTCAATTGCAAATTGTATATAAAACAAAACCATCTTGCCTCCACTACTCATCCGGACATAAATCCGGACACATATGGTGATTAGATTGGTCGCGTTAGACAGCCAAGCCACCGTGCCATTTATTCAATGTCAGCAGATGTTACAAAGATTCGAAAACTATGACTGAAGTGTGAAAACAAAGTGCACCAAAGCCGGACACGAAAATCCCTAAAAACCACCAGGTGGAAAAAAATAGGGGGACGTATGCCTCCAACCAAGGCAGTGTTGCCACCCTTGGGGTTTTGGGTATCCTAATTAAACGCAGTGTAATACAATACAAATTGTATTATTGTGTACACAAATATAGTAATTAAATGACAGAACTAAAGAATCATGAAAAAATCGGAAAGTATCATTCGTGCATAACGAAGAAAAACCGAGAAAATGGAAAATGAACTTTACAACTGTACACGGCGAAAGCTGACCGTGGAATGTCTCACCCTGCTAACGGTAACTTGTCTTTTTGATTCCACTACACACCCCGAAGCTGCCCCGAAACCTCTGCTCCATGCCGGCAAAATAGTAATTTATGCTGATTCGGAATTATCACAAATTACATCTCTTGATGAGAGTAGCCTGTTTTCCGACCAGCGGCTAGAAATTGAGCTAAATGGGGGTAGCATAAAAATTTTGCGAGAGTTAAATTTAAAATAAGTGTGGACTTAGAATCAGGGAGTGCCAATGTGCTTTTGGATTTCTTCTGAATCAAGCAGTTAGGAGGCATTTTCACAAGACAACTCTTGAAAGTTATATTGAGCGTGGCACGTTATTTTCGCGTCTTTGCTCGTACTCTGTGTAGGCCTTTGATTACCGTATAAACTTTTGATTATAGAGAATTACAAATTATTTTGTGAACGTCGTCCGCACACGTCACTCGTCTTTTACCCAGGTGGTAACATATGCAAATTCACAAAACAATTATACTGATGGAAAAGAATTTTATATAATGCAACAAAATTACCAAAGCTTATCTGAAACGCAAATGCAAATTTAAAACAGACACAATCCATGAAATACTGAAGAAGCCTAGGCAAAATTAGTTCAGCGGAAACTTAACTCGGTCGTTTTGAAAGGTGAGCAATATATTTAGCATGGTGGTTCCTTTACAATATTGGCAATTTACATGAAAAGTGCTGGCTGGCGTTTGGCTAAATTACAATAAATTGAAATTAAATCAAGAATATAATTTCTTACGATTTTCATTTTGAATTAATCAGAAACGCTGTAACAACGGACAACAACTTAAATTACGAAATCTTACGATATACAAGTAAACTGCTTGAGGACTGAAATATTTCTCTAGCTCTTTTTCATTCCAATTATCGAAAGATCGAAATCCGCAGAACTCACTGTATAAATTGTACATCGCAGCAACAGCTGATGTAAGGGGCTGTTTTGTGAAATTGTAAAGTCAACAAGAGAGCACACCGTTTCAATTACCTCGTGCAATAAGCATGAATTAGAAAAATATGTTCAAAAAATGAATCAATATAAATATAAGTGAAAACTTGGGAAACGATAATCCAACTAATTTGCTAACGAACTTCGCTGTTTTTGTCCTGAAATCAAGGTCCAAAGTTCGAACTACCCGGGCAGCTCCTGGTTTAGATGATAATGGCGTTTTCAATCCAGACACGCAGTTTTTATGCAGTCATCTTAATTTCCCAATTTTTTACAAGGTGGAAAATGATTTCAGGTACATAGCAAAACTCAACATTTATAAGTATAAATATAGGTGATAGGTGATTTAGGCGTAATCTAAATATAGATAGGTGTAAATGGTAAAAGTTCAATTGAGGCCTTACACTTCTGTAAAATGACATTAAAATCGTTTAAAAAGAATCCAAGCTTTCGCCGATCTACGGCATCATCAGGGATAAGAAAAAATATTCCGCGTAAGGCTTATATACAGATGTTAAGTAAAACCGTGTGAAAAGCGAAAGAATGTGGGGGGCTAAAATGCATGAGCTAAATAATAAGATACAAATATGAATAAAAATGAATGATATGATCTAATGAGCGAGTGTCAAAGTACAAAGAGTCTCTAGATATGTTAAAATAATTATTAGAAGAAAAGGTCCCCGAATTCGCGATGATGCCGTAGATCGGCGAAAGCTTGGATTTTTTTTAAACGATTTTAATATCATTTTACAGTAGTGGAAGGCCTCAGTTGAATTTTTACCATTTTCATTTAAAATGCTTCTGAAGGACAACATCCAACGATTATAGATAGGTGTGTGTCTGTGTGTGTTGTGTGGTGTGTGTCCGACCATTTTATGCATAATCAACTTGTAAACTAGCAATCTGGCAGTTTTAACCCACTGGTTATTTCACGTTGCCAGTACTCTTACATAATTATAACTCTTAATTAATTTGAATCAAGTTGTAACATGAAAAGTAAAACAAAAGATGTTGTTGTGTGTTGTTTACCCTGTAATACAAACGTTTTGCCGAGTTTACCAAGGTGGCCTAAGGTTTAGCGAGCTGGACTCTGGATCGGGTGGTCTGGATTCGAGCCTTCGCAGAGGTCAGCGCGTTGTGTACTTGGGAAAGACACTTAATATAAATGGTTACCACCGATACCGACGTTAACTTACCCCTTTTTCACAAAGTACCTTATACAAAGTCCTATGGCAAAGACGACAGAAATGTTCCTGAACGCTTCAGGCATTTCGACCGGCTGTGTAAAATTTTTCAGCCTAAAAAAGGACTTACTGCCCAAAGAGCTGAAGTTGGCGCCGAGTCCGTAGCCACACATGGACGATCAGTGAAGGCATTCGTCAGTTTCTCTTGGCCAGTGTGACCAGGAAACGCTAAAAGGGTGTTTTAGAGTGCATGTAATAGCTATTAGAAGTGGAAATTTCAATGAACTCTTGTAAGGACACAATGAATTAACAACAAAACTTACTTCATCTCTTTGGGTCGTCTAAAGGAACAACCATAACGCCGACAGTGAGTTCTCAGTTCTCGCAATCAGCAAACAGTTTTGTATCATGGTCACGTGTGAATGACACCAATTCGAGCGACACAATTCAACCCACAGGAACAAGCTCAGTAATTCATTCCACATCGAACAAAGTACTACCAACTACAAATACCACGACACAAGGTCAGTGTTGCTTGTGAACACTACAACTGAGTTTTACAACAAGAATCCCCTATGGATTTCCGTTCATCACTGTAATTGTCTACATGTAACGAAACCTTAGACATAACACGTGACAAGATACATCAGGGACTGCTTGCTTTTTGCTCCGTAGACCGTAGTTGGTTTCAATGAAAAAAACCTCCTAAACGGGATATTTTTAAACAAAGAAAATTATGCCATCCTGGGCAATGCCATTGGTTTACTGTACAAATACCTGTCAAATGTATCCCAACAACTAAACACAGACAACCAAAAACTGGTAAAACCATCCAAAACATAAGTCATCCGGTCACCACGACCAAGTGTTTGTTTTCCGGTGCTGTTTTTATTTTTCTTTTCAAATAGTGATACTTATTGACAATTTTAGATGTCGTTGCCGTTTTCTTTTCCACCCACTTGTCATCCATCACTTCCTTATATGCTCTGCAATAGGCCCTTACAAGCGTAAAATTGGAAAATTTATATCATTCAGTGTGACCTAGCCATAAATTGCGCCCCCACCTCCAGTACCCCCCTTCAAAGTAAATTACACTCGGCAAGACGAACCAAAAAAGTAGCCTCTGATTTTCCAATTCTTGATATTTATTTCTGGAATTTACAATTAGACAAGACAATTTTTCGCGCCAATATCAGTGAAAACTGGGGAATTCTGTATGTACCTCGACTTTTTCTTATTTCATTAGCCTTCAGTTAGTAATTGTTTTAGGAAAGATTAACGAGGCCACTAAAAAAAGAGGACTGTTTAACTTTGTTGGCCATCATTTGTCATATTTCTCTCTCTCTCAAACCAACATTCCGTTTGCTTTTGTCTTGTTTTGTTGCTCTTGTGTAGAAGCTGACCAAAATGAGGACGAATCAAAAAAGAGACAAGTGGCGCTGATATGTGGAGCATGCGCAGGAGTGATTATCATTGTAGTGAGCCTGACTGCTGTATTACGTACTCACTTTAACAGCCAAGTTCAAGATGGAGGCTAATGTAAATTTTGCTTTTGATAATGAAAACTGAACAAAAATAATGTAAAAGTAAATTTGTTGCTCAAGTGAAGTAAAAAGTGAAGATGACGTTGGTGATTGTGTTTGCGTGAGTTTTCGTTGAACCTAAAATGTAGTGCATTGAAAAATGAGAAAAAATTTCGATTTTCATGTCAAGGCTATAAGGTCATCAGTGCCCCCGATTCTCGCGAGTGGTAACTTCGCCACTGGAATTCATATCTATATTTTCGTAGACATAAAAACATAATTATTTCTTAGGTTTTTTTTTAACGCATATTATTTCACACGTTTGCTTTTTCTGTGGATGTATTTCTCGTACGCACAGTTGACAGAGTGGCTAAATTCATTGGTACAGGCATAGACGTATGCGTTTACAACTTTGCACGTTTGTTCAAAGAGGGAGCTCACTTGGCCCCGGACAAACGACAAAAATTTGTAGAAAAAAGTTGCAGAAAAAAAAAAACCTTAAAAGAAAACTACATCAAGGCTAACGTTATGTTTTCCACTATCCTAAGTTCAATACTTTCCCCATATCCTACTTACTTTTTGAAACTTAATAACAAAATCAAGTTCTGAGTGTTTGGAAACGCCGGGGGAATGCAGACTTCTTGGCACTTTATGTCAAAGCCATTTTTCAGGTGTGGAGCATTTTAAAAACGTTAAATATTTACCTTTGTTCATGCTTTCATTTTCCCGTAAAAAAAGAAGTGCGTGAGACTTGACAATAGGTGGACACTCATGCGATTTACCGCTGGTTTGTATTCAAAGTCACTCAAGACATATGACTCACTCTTTAAAGCTCTGTTTTTCTGGTTACTGCTTTTCTTTAACATTTGAGTTTAGATAACTTCATATACACTAGAAAACGATTAAGTTTGAAGGAAAACATTATTTCAAAATCAAGTAAAAGGAATGCATGGATGAACAAAGCAAAGGATCGCTTGCTCAACTAATTTACTTATGCTCAATGCGGGTCTTCAATGTTAGTATTCTGCCCAGGCTTTCTCGTTTGACAAGCGATATTTGAAAATATTCTTCTTTTTTGCCGTTGCTTTTTGGTGTGAATTGCAGTACAGTGGAACCCCGTTATCCCACTGACGCCTGTGCCGGCAGTAAACGGCCGTGAGGAGTCTTTGTTCCACTTCTGACGTCATCGCCTTTGACCAAAATTGGCATCACGTATTATCAAGTTCTGCAGGAGGAAAAGATCTTTCCAATGATACCCAGATCAGAATGATTGGGTCAATGGAGTCTGAAATATGTACAAAAATGTTCTCGATGATGTTTTCTCGGGAAGCTTCGGGAATTCTTGGACTTGAAGCAAGCCCAGTAAAAAGTTAATCACTGCAGCGAAAAGATAAGAAAGGAGAAAAAGGAAAGGCCAAAAAAAAGAAAAGCCTAAAGAAGTAGGACACTTTCTCACCCAAAAATCTCGAAATTCTGATTTCTACGCCTGCCCGAGCAAAAATGTCATAAAACGCGATGCTAGTGGAAGGAAATACATGTTGTCCTGTTCCAAATGCCTTTTTGAGTAGATTGGGGCTCGAATTCATTTGGCTCATATCCAGGCTGAAAATGTCCAAAATCTCCGGTCCAAAATATGCGTTTTTGACAAAAATCTCCGGGAGTCAACAGGCCGTGAAAATGTTAAATTTCATGACTTGTCTAAATCTGAGCTCCTCTT